AAAAAAAAAACATTCAGTTATATCTACGTAGTGGAATGCATTTTCTTTTTCTAATTATTGTTATTATTATTATTATTACTACTATTGTTGTTTATTGTTGGTATTATTATTATTACTATTATTATTATTATTATTATTATTATTATTATCATCATCATCAGTAGCTGTAGTAATAATTCATCGTCGTCGTCTCATCGCCATTGAAACGTAGTTGCGAATTAGTAGTAAATTATCGTAGGTCACACGAACGCCAAAGCAAAGAAAAAAAAGGAAAAAAGAAAGAAATGTACGCCCTTTCTCGTTTCTCTTCCCTTTTTACTCCCGTACATGCAGGCCGTTGTTACGGGTGTATAAACTATCGATCGACCGCTTTGTCACGGTTTGCACGAGCTCGAGCCGTTGCGTACGCGCGGCCACACGCACAAGTATAGGTACTCGTTTACGAGCGAACACTTTTCTGCTCGCGACGTTGATTCTTAGCCACGTGGTGGTGACTGGTTTCTCGGAGCGAGAAATCTGTCAAATTGTCAATTACCTACCGTAGTTCGTTATCGCCTACCTTCTTGTTCGACCGATCTCCGAACCGATCTGCGTACCGACGATACCTCTGGTCGCGAGAACAGGGATCGTTTCAAGTACCTGCGTCTTCCTGTGATCGTCCGTCTAAAATGGAAATGTATCTTCGATGACTTTCTCCAAAGTTAACTAATTTACTAAGCTAATCTCGTCTGTAATCTGTAAATTATTCGAGCCGCCGAAACACGATCGATTGCCCGTTTGGAGTTTTTGCGTGAGCTTCATTGCCATTTGCAACGCAGATTCGTTCTACATTTGTACGTATGACGTGATGAATACGTATATACTTATGTAGCAACACGAGTACGCACGCACGAGTTACCAACGATCACGAAAAAAAAAAAGAAGAAATTGCCAATGAATTTTCGATATCCGTTGATAAAGACAATTGTAAAACGATCGATATTTTTATACGAAATATAATGTTTATAACCGTTGCGCGGCTCAAACACCGTCGCAATTCCTCGGGACCGTACAGAATTGTCTTTCGTATTATCGAATTACATTTGAAATTGTAAAATGCATAAAGTGTACACGCGGGTAAATAAAATATCGCTCAACAAGTACCTCATTTTCTTGCTGCGTTTCATTTCAGCGTAACGCGACCCGACGACATTATCATAATGTTTGCACATAAATCAAGATTGCGCCATTGACCAGAAACACAATAGACCTGACGTACAATCCTTTTTTTGTTCCGCGTTTTGGGGGCCCCCGTGTCAGCAAGGCCTTTATCATTTTCGTGTCACGTGCAACTTTATCGACAGGCAGACAAGGTATATAAGGGTTTGACAACGATTTGAAATTAATTTTTCCTGTGGAATTTCAACAGAGTATTTTACGTGTAATCGCAAAATCAAAAATTCTATACTAACTTTGTCGTTAACTTTTCCTGCGTTATTGATTAGAATTGACGATTCCGTGATCATCAATGCTTTGGAATTTTCAAGTGACTACAATTGCTTAATTTTGAAACCCATTATTCATAAAGGACGTTTAAGCTCGTGAAATAATTCCAAATAAAAGTTTACAAATAAAATATTTCTCAAGATGAAAAAAGTATTATTTTATTACATGAAATCAATTTCATTGCCATTAATTTTTACTTGAAACAATTTGTTTGGAAAGTGATGCAAGAGTATATCCTAAATTTTATGCTACATGTTAATTCATTTTGCAAATTTTTTAATACTTCACAAAGGATATTTAGTTTTTTAAGTAAGAATCAATTGCGATAAGCATTTCAAAATGAAGCCTATAAAAAAAATAAATATTTTACACAGGCAGGCAGTAATTTATAGAAATATAATGACATCTTTTCATATGTTTTTTAAACATAAGTGAGTATTCGATCCATTACAAATAGTTTGCAATCCTCTACATGTCCATTTCATAGATCAGATTTAATATAAAAAGATACTTGATTAAGAAAACGCAATTTGTTTTTACTTTTTTTCTATATATTTACATTTATTTTGCAGCTCAAACTCACTAACTAATTAATTAATGACTACAGTTAAACTAAAGAATATATATATATATATGTGTGTATATGTATAATCAACCTGCAAAAATATAATTTGCACCACATAATGTGCCACTTTGTATGAACTTTGTAAAAACATACCTCTAGTCGATTTTGCGAGATATATAAGAATATATTAGTTTTATTACTTCTATGATATTACCAAGTATAGATAGTTTATAGAAAAATTCCAAATAATGCTTTAATTAGCAAGTGTAATTTTCAACTAATCAATAATGGAATTTATGTTCTTTCTCATGCTCGATCCATAATACCGTGATTATAATAAAATTGTTAAAAATTTAACATAAATTTGAACATGTAACATGTAAGAAATACAATAATTTTAATACTTTAATATCAATAATAATTTAAAATAGTTGAAAATTGTTTTTAAGAATATTTTATAAGATATGAGTCATTTATATCCAACCGCGTATTAATAATTTCTAAATTTTAATTTACTATTTAATAATATAAAAAAGAAAACCATCATAAATCCGTAAATAAAGCTCTTTATGTAGTCGAATGATTTCGGTATCGGAATTTTAACAACATCCCAGTAATGGATTTCAAAAATCTCGTTTCTGACAGATTCACTCTATTCGATCAACTTTGATCGTTTTACTCGATGTAGTTCTCCAATTCGCCGTTGTTGGAGTGCGCTAAAAAACCATTGACTTTTTTACTACGTCACGCAAAATCCTATAAAACGTAATGTCTATGCACGTACCTCGTCTGTGATGTCGTACGTCATTGACCAAAGTCAATGCATATAGTCAGTACATATATTTCACACCTACAACGAGGCCATGTTAATCGCGCTGTTGGCCGAGAGATGGCGATTCCAATGGTCGAGTAACTGTCAAGACAGAATGAACGTGAATGGTACTGGATTTTCATTGCTATCTCATTTCAAGGGTAAGCGACGCACTCTCCATTTACATAGCGAACTATATTTTTGCAGTTAACCACAACAATCTGTCAGGCAGTGGATAGACTTTGCAAAACCACGGAATATCCTAGTGGTTGCGTCGATCTTTCAGAATTTATAGGTTAGTTTCTCGAACGTAGATCGAGTCGTGTCAAAGATCAAAGGATCGCGAGGCATGTCGATGCGATAAGATAACGCTTATCGAACGACAAAGATGAATCGATCGTTGGTCTGTTTGCAGGTAAACAACGGTGGACAGGATGAGAGTCCAATTGTTGGTCGCGCAGGTGATGGCGGCCATGATGATGGTGAAATGCAGCGATATTACACCAGCGGTTTTTGGTAGCGTATTGGACGGTATGCCAGCGGCCTTTGGCGATTTTAATTCCGACGAACTGACCGACGTGTTCATGCTGCGCAAGAACTGCACCACCGTTCAAATTTTTCTCGCCGCCGAACAGGAGCCTCTTTTGAGGCCCAGCTCCGAGCTAAGTTGCACGTTCCGCCGTTCGGTGGTGGGCGTAGTGCCGGGAGACTTTGACGGAGACGTGTTCATGGACGTGTTGGTCATCACATACGACAGAGAGAAGAACCTGTCGCACGGTTACATACTATGGGGTGGAAACGGCCGGTTAAACTGTACGAACGAGGATCACCCGGTGATAAGCATGAGAGGGCAACCGTTGGCTCTCGACTACAACGGCGACATGATAATAGATCTGTTCGGCTTGGACGAACAGAAGAACAGGGTGTTTTGGATATTCGACGAGAGCAGAAACCCTCCGAGAAAGATTCCTATGCACTCGCCTGTGAACCTGCCGCTGGCATTCATCAGGGAGCCTCACTCGAACGCCTATCTCGACCTGAACAGCGACTTCTTGGCCGATCTGGTGGTCACGACGGACAAACACTTTGAAATTTGGCTGGGCGTGGAGCAAGGATTCCGATACGACAGACTGATAAAGTTCCCCGGCGGAGTCTCCAAGAACTTCAAAGGCGTGCTCGGGCAAACGTTGTACCTGGACGTCGAGCTGACCGGCAAGATGGATCTGCTTTTGCCTCTGTGCTTCGACGAGGCGTGCGCCAACAGCACCATCATGATGTACTCCGCGGACAAGTGGCACGATCTCGGGGTGAACTTGAGGGATAACGACAACATGCTGTGGGGCTTTGTGAAACCGAACGGGCATCGATATACCGACACGATCACTCTTCACGGCGGTGACTTCAACATGGACGGTTATCCAGATCTGCTGGCCACGCTCAAGCCGACCACTGGCAAACAGCAGCGGTCCTATCTGCTGGAGAACGTGGCGTGCGACACGTGCGAGAATTTCACCCGAAAATTCCAAGTGAAATGGCAAGCGCTGAGTCCGTTCCGCAACGAAACAGCGATGGCCGTGTTTTACGATTTCTACCAAGACGGGATCTTGGACGTGATCTTGGTGGAGGTGGAGACAAGCAGGAACAGCTACCGTACAGCTGCCTTCAAGAACAGCTTGGACTACGACGCGAACTTTGTGAAGGTGATGGTGCTCACTGGACGGAACAACAGCATGTATCCGATCTCGCCGGGCTCGCTCGGCAAGAAGAAGCGAACTTACGGTACGAATCTTCCCGGTCCGTCGATAGCCTATCGGACCACGACTCAGGACGGCAGCCCGCGAAACGCGATCGCCGCTCAGCTCCCGCAGAGCGCCCATTTCTCCCTGAATTTGCCATACACGACCTTCGGTCTGGGTAGAACCCCCAACTTTGTCGATGCTCTCACTATCGGGGTAAGCTATCTTTCTCACTTTGCATTTTCTCTCCGAATTTGTCGTCATTCGTTTGTTTGTTTGTTTGTTTGTCCACGACAGGTCGGGGGGAAATATCGGGAATGGCCGCAAATCATCCCCAACTCGCAGATGGTAGTGATACCGAATCCAATCATGGAACCCTCGAGGTGGAAAGCCCAGCTGTTCGTAACTCCCAGCAAACTGATATTGCTGAGCGCTGCTGCGTTAACCGCCACCTGCGGCCTCATATCCTTGATCATCGTCGCGCTCTACTGGAAAGAGCGAAGGGAGGACAAGCTCGAGAAGCTTCAGGAAGCGCACCGATTCCCATTCGACGCGATGTGAGGGTGATTCCATTAACGATCCGTCGAATATCTTTAAGAAATGTATTTAATAGATCTACAAGTTGTTTCGTAATATCGGCAAATAAATAGTGATAATTTAACTAAATTTGTAAATCAATAAATATACAAACATCTACAAAATGAGTGAGCAAGTGAACGAACGTACGGTTGGACGCGATGCGTAATACAAGTCGAGATACGATCGGTAATACGCGCGAGTAGCGTCTACGTGTGTGTGTGTGTGTTGTGTGTTTGTGTGTGTGTGTAGTTTTAAGGAGATTGGCGATATTTTGTACAACAAGTTTCTGAAATATATCGCGCACTCTGCTTTTTTTTTCGAATAGAAAGTCGTCGTCGTCGTCACTAATAAAATTGACAATTTATTGATTTCTCTTGGACATTCTTATTTTATAACACAGGACCCGTCTCTCGCTTCGTCTCGCGTCATAATCGACGCATCGAGTGCGAAATATATACTTACGATACTAGTTACATTTTATATATATATAAAAGTATATATACATGTATAAATTTATATATATATAAAATTTTCCAACGCGTCGCTTATTAACAAACGATCATTGCCGGCTTGATTTTGGTCGTTACACTGTCAGCGGTGATACGCTGTAGATGGAATCGGTTCCAGCGGCGTTCCACTACTGACAACGATCGTTTTTAATGGCAGGGTTCAAATCGTTGAAGTAGGGATGCGCCATTGCTTCGTCCGCCGACAACCGTAACGCTGGATTGCACACCAGTAACCTCTGAAAATGAAAGTTTCGACAAGATGACGAGATTTGCCTAACAGAAAAAAGATTGAAACGTATCCTCGTCAAACAAAGACGATTAAATACAGTAGTGCCCACTTGAACGTCGCTATCCCCGATTCTTAGAATTGGGACTATCTCGCTTCATTCTGCTTTACCGTGCGATACCGATCGAATACCGCGTGAAACATGATCCTTGCAAAGATTCTCGATACCGATATTTTTGGCACAATTCCTCATTTAAACGTATAATCCGCAGGCGCTACTGTACTCGGGTACTATTATATATGTATATATACGCATCGCCATACCTGCAGCAAGTCTCTGCCTCTGGAATTAAGTTTCGGCGTAACTTGAGCCAATCCCTGAGCAGGATGATAAAGCGGAAAGGGTTTGTAGTCGGGGAGAGTGGTAAAATCCTGCCACGTCTCCTCGGTCGGCGTACCCAACATTTTGAATATTCTCTTCAATTGATCGTCCACGTCCGAACCGGGAAACAACGGCCTACCGGCGTTTGCTAGCTCTATGCGGTTGTTACATCGGTATCATCCACACGTGTCCCCATCCTCTCTTTCACTCTCTGTCTGGTTTTGTCAAGGCAACTTACCAGCAAATATACAACCGGCGCTCCACATGTCGATGGACGTTGTGTACAACTTTGCCCCAAAGAGAACGTCCGGTGGACGGTACCATAACGTTACGACTTCCGCCGAGTAGCATTTCACCGGGATTCCGAATGCTCTGGCCAGTCCGAAATCCGCCAGCTTCAACTCGCCGTTCTAAACGTCGTGCAAAAGACGGTTCAAACTGGCAAACACTTGATTTAATTTTATGGAATGAGCTACAAATTCAACTACATTATATGTGTGATTCAATTATATTACAAATTATATATAGAAATAATAAATCAACAAACAATATATATATATATATATATATAGTAATTAAAGAAAAAGTAATTTAAAAATTAATTACAACGATTAAATCAATAACGTAGTAAGAGATACGTTGTAATCGTTTTTTTTTTTTTTTTGCTTTTAGGCTGGAAACGAGGGAATCACCGGGTACCTTGTTGATGAGCAAGTTCTGCGGCTTCAGGTCTCTGTGCAGCACGTTTCTGCTGTGACAAAACGCCAATCCGCGCAGCAACTGATACCTGAGGAGGATAAAGAGAAAGAGACACGGGAGAACACGTGTTGTAGTAACACGAAAATTCGTAATGGCGCGCGAAGCGACCGCAGCGAGCGAATGGCAAACGATACTCACAGAAAGGACTTCACCACGTCCAGATCAATCTCCCCGTTCAGACTGTCGAAATACTTTTTCAGATCTTGGTCGCAGTGCTCGAACACCAGGGTCAACTTTTTATCGCTGTGCAACACGTCGTACAACCTCACGACATTCTTATGTTTCAACTCTTTCAACAGACAAATCTCTCTGAGCGCGGACGATGGTACACCCTGCGTGTCAACAAGAAGCAAAGGATACAGTCAGGTCTGGTATGCGGCGGGATATAATTCTGATTGCGAGTAAAAGAGAGAAAGAGAGATGCGAACGCGATCGGAATCACGCGTCGGCTTACTTGCTGTCGCCATAAACTTACTTCGTCGTCTTCGTCCAATCGGACTCTCTTTAAAGCAACGATTTCGTGAGTCTCGCGATTCTTGGCTTTGAATACGGTTCCATAAGTACCTGAAGTACGCAACAGATCAATCTATATATACATATATATGTACATATGGCGATCGGTGACGATCGCAGTCGCGTAAACGACACGCGACGTTCCGCGACGATCTCGGTTGTCAAAAGACGGGACGCACACACGCACACGACTCGGCACAAACAGTCGACGAGCAACCGACACGAACGCTCCAACCGAGAGAAACTGCACGGCACACGGACACATACCACTGTAACAGTCACTCGGGATAGAGTGGACGCTTACCTTCTCCTATTTTCTCGAGCTTCTCATATTTTTGCATATTTTTGGCGATTCTGCGGGCGGAATGATCACAGAGTGGTTAGCGCTGCACTCGAAACAATCGTGCGCGAACACACTGTAGCGACAGCTACTCCAGCGACATCTGTCTCTCGGCAATATCACCGAAGAGTCCATTTTAGATGAATTTATGGCGCCCGTTTTGCCGGGCTCTAAAGCGGGAAAATAAATGAAGATCGGTGTTGCTATGGAGATGTTTGTAGGTGGTTGCTATAGAGATTCAACAAGTCTGCGAGCATATAAATAAGAGTTGCAGGGTGGATAAAAACATAAGAAGATAGATAGAACATTGGATATTGTATAGCTTATAGTCCAAAGTTTAAAGTGTATTAATTTTTATTGTTAAATTACGATATTACTAAATAATTGTTATTAAATAAAAAATATTAATATTAACAAATTGCCTAGTTCCTTTTGTAGTACGGTGAATTTCTGATTTATCGACCATCGTACCTACAACACCGCTGCAAGTGGCGCCATCAATCGTTCGCACACTCTCAACGAGACGCTTGGCCACCGGTCGCTCCTCTTACCAAGCAGCTGCGCGCCCCTTTCAAACCCAGTGCACGCGGACGCCTGTCTAGCGTATCTGCTGTTGTCGTCGTACAATCGACGTGTAAAATATTACCAGTACCGAACAGTAACTAAGTCGTTCCATCCCTCCAGAGTTTAATACTTTGCTATTTTTCGCGCGTCTTCCGATCCGCAGCGGGCAAACCCGAGCAGTAATAAAGCGACCTCAACAGTAAGCTAATTGCGTTATGCGCAGTGAAGTGCCTTTTTAGTTAGCAGATGGGAAATAGTCGTAACGATCCAAGTAATGAAAAGTAATGTTTATCAGTAACAATAAATATCAGAAATGTTCATTTTGATGAAGAAAACGAAATTACTTTTCGGTACTACTAATAAATATATATATTTAATATATAATATATAATATATTAATATATATTTAATATATAATAATACGAAATTCACCCTTTTGCAAATCAGGTTATTCTACAAACTTGTTTCCTTAAGCCACTAAGTAATAAATTTTAAATTAATTAATTAATAATTAAATTAATAAGAAATTAAAAATAAAAAAATAAATAGAAATAAATAATAATAATAATTAAATTAATAAGAATAAAACAAGAATAAAATAATAATTAAATTAATAAGAAATTAAAAATAAAAAAATTAATAGAAATAATATTCGATGTAAAATTGTTCTTCCAAAATGAAAATTTTATGGCACGTATATAATAATACTTGAACACAAATTATGAATATAAAGTGACATGAAATTAACAGGAAATACTTATTTAGCCCTAAAAGTACTTACATACGTAGATTCATCTGTGATGGATTACTTGATGCTCCGCGGAGTAATTTTATATGCATATATTTGTATAATAATTATGACAACCTAGAAGAGTGATAGTTGCAACAGAATGATTAATGACATCCACTAGATGTTTACGGTTTGGCGGATCAATCAAAATATTTCTTGCGTAGAATTTAATTTTTGACAAAAGTTCATCATTGGAAATTATGGTGCAAAAAGCGTGTCTTGTCTGACCAACGAAATCATTGTGAATAACTTTGGTACATTTTCCAAAACCGACCACACCTTCTTCGAGTTATCTTTGTTCTGTCCCCACAGTAATCTCCGATGAAATCAGCAAATAATAATTAAAGTAAACGAACGTGCAATTCCCAGAATAATTCGAGCAATTGAGGGAACATTTCGTCCCCCAGGTGACATGAACTGGTTTGGTCTGACAACAGTTTTGATTGCGCCTTTGTTCTCCGAATAATTAAATTATCCAATTCGTCAAAGAATATTATTTTTTATCTTGCCTCGCAGGCGTTTCGAGAAAAATTTAATGCATACACTTTGAGAATTTCGACCATCAATTTGTCAATGAGATTTTTAATGTGATTAATAACTTATCGTAGTCCACTTTTAACGTTAAATAAGCATTTCATGTTAATTTTACGCCATTCTATGCATGGCGTGCAACAACTTTCTACTGAATTTTTTAAATTCTTAATGTAACGATTTAAAAAAGAAAAAACAAATTTGTAGAGAAACCTTGATTTGCAAGAGCAGTGCAAAACATGCGTACGTGACTGACCTTACCTGTCAAATTAATCCACTTGTCGTAACTTGTGACAACGGCAATCGGCAGCGAGTCATGGCAAATCGAATCTAATCGAAATTGGATAGAATTAATTGAATCTTGCGATAACGAACGGCTACCGAATTACGCCATACGTATTATTATTGCTCGCAACGTTAGGCTTATCAGTGGGAAATGATCGGCTCACCCGATATCGCGGATCGATGTCGAATTTCAACGACGACAAACACGCAAACACGTAAACACGTTGCGTGCCGCGTCGAAGGATGCGGCCAGCGTCGTCGCTTATATTTTATGAATATCGTTGCACCAGCACGTTGCGATACTCGCGTAAACACGTGCAACGAATTCTTCCGAGTCGCGTTCGAAACGCGAAGAGATTCGAAAAAGAGAGAGAAAAAAAAAAGAGTCTCGTCGGTTGCAAAAAGCACTTTGAAACGATGACGTTGCAAATTCCGCGAATCAATCGCACGTATTTGCTCCCCTTTTCCCCGATTGATTTCATAATTATCGGACGGGAACGCGCGATTCGTACCGAGGGTGATCGATCGTATTACAAAGGAAGAAAGAAAGGAAATCTCTTTTTCTATAATAGTTGTCGGGAGGGAGAGGACGAACGTCAGTCGTGTTGCAATCGATTTGTTTATTTATTTTATCGGCATTTTTTCGACAAGTACACCCCACATTGACATTACAAGGAAGCAGAGGGAGGAGATTGCGTGAGCAACTCGGATGGAAAGTGGCGAGGCGATTAAACACAGAAACGGGGGCAGGTTGGCCGAACAAGCGGAACCGGTGCACGAAGAAACTGTGCAGATACGGATCGCGTCGTTCTCGAGAGTTGCGGAGAAATCGAATCGTGCATGTAGAGGAAACGCGAATTGCGTCGAATGTCGCAGTATCGCGAAACCGAGGTGAACCGAGAGAGAAGTTGGCGTCGAGTCGTGTTTTGTTTTCGATGGGAAATCATCGCGTGTAACAGCAACGACATGTCGCGGGGAAGGAAGATTTTCGATAGCGAGGGTTGAGGTAGCGAGGGTTGGATCGGCGCGGACGATTTTCAGAGTCAAAGAGAGATCGAGATTCTCGACGAAGAGATGCGGCTGGTGGTGAAGCAGGTGTTGGGCAGCGCGATCCCAGTGTTGGCCAACGTGGCGATACT